GAAAACTACGGCATCCGGGGACCTGCATATAATTGGCTGGAGTCATATTTAGGTGGTCGTACGCAAAAGGTAATGATAAAAAACAGCAGAGGTGAGTTTTTGTCATCTGAAAAGGAAGTGACTCTGGGGGTGCCACAGGGTAGTATTCTGGGGCCTTTATTGTTTATAGTGTACATCAATGACTTGATATACAATTTGGAAGGGGGCGATATGAGTCTCGTAAATTATGCGGATGACACCAGTATACTATTTTGTGGGGAAAATATCCATGATGCAATCAAAAAAATGAAACTGCTCTTTCCACAATTACAGAATTGGTTTAACTGTAACAACCTTCGACTTAATGCTGATAAAACCAAATGTATTTCATTTCAACACAAAAAGGCGGATACATCAAAAAAGGAATCGTTGAACAATTTTGGTTTCTTCTCTAAATTAGATCCTAATACGAATTTTCTCGGCCTAGTACTTGATCAGAACCTGTCGTGGGAACAACACATTTCTAAGATATCAGCAAAACTAAGTAGTATTTGCTACATGTTAAAAGAACTTAAAAAAGTTGTGGGTTGYGATACATTGATGWCTGTATACTATGCACATTTCTTTTCCATAATGAAATATGGCATACTTTTCTGGGGTTTATCTTGTAGTAGCAGTCAAGTGTTTAAGTTACAAAAAAGGGCACTAAGAATTATTGCAAATATAGGATATTTAGATTCCTGTAGGGGTATTTTTAAGCATCTTGATCTTTTGACATTTTGGAGTTTATACGTATATGAATGTCTGTGCTTTGTTCATCAACATAAATATTTATTTAGAAAAAATTTGCAATTGGATATACACTCTACTCGCAAAATGGAAATGTATCGATATCCGTTGCATAATTTATATTTATTTATAGAAAAAAGCTGCTTTTACCAGTGTTTAAAACTTTACAACTGTTTGCCGTTTACCTATCATAACTTACCATCCCACGTATTTGGATGGATGGTTAGAGCTAAACTTGTTGAAGCAGAGTTATATGACATTGAAGATTGTACGAAAGATATCTTTTGACGAATACCAAACACCTTGTAGTGTCACTGATATTAATAAAGTTATTTATTTATTTTATTTTTATTTATAAATTCAGATGTTGTCAAAATTGTAACTTTTATGAATCTTGTGTGCCTGTTTGCTCTTTGAAAGCACTATAATTGAACACCTGAGGACAGACATCATTACCACCTAAGGTCTAAAGACAGTGCTAATAACTTTGATAGAAACACACCGCAAGTAAGTACAATTTCGTGGACAAAAATGAGAATCTTGCTACAAAAACTTGAAGAAAAAGGAAAAAGATACAAGTAGGTATTATGATGATTGGCAATAAATTTTGTGTCATTTATTAAAATGAGCTCAAAGTTGATGCATTTTTTAAATGCTTCTTCACTTTAGTTTCAAAATTGTTACTTTTTCAACTCGTTCCTCAAAAACGATGCACAATACACTAATTTAATTGCGTTCTTTCCGAGGTTCTTTCTCATTCATGTTTATTTTGTATTCTTGTCAATTTTTACTAAAAATTGAGAATGTTTAGCAAACCTGCATTACAAATTGCGTCTACATTTTAACGGGTTCTTGTTCTAACTTCCTGCTTGCGAACTATTCGTTTTCAAATTTCTAAAAACTGTTAGCGGTACCGAATTTGTTCCTTTTTTGGTGTTTCGTCTCAAAATTTTCTTAGACGATTTTTTGTGTTGACGTTTAATGACATTGTTTTCAAATTAATTCAAAAAACCAAAACTGCCAACTTCTTTTATTAAAATTATCATGAATGAATTTACTAGTGGTGCCAACGTTAAGACTGTTTGGCATTTCCATTAAAAAAAAATAGACTTTAATAGAAATGGCGGGCTAAGTGCTGCCAACTTTGAGATAAATTAAATGGCCACTATGAACTGTCCGCGACTTTAAGTGTTTTTTAATAATTATTTAGTAAAAGTACAAAAATGTTGCCAATAAAAGCCACAAATAACATTAAACAGAATTGCAATTCAGTATACAGCTTCTTTGTTTTTTTTTCTAATAGCCTGTAGCAAAAAAACTTGCAAAATAATTTTTCCAACAGAAATAAATAGAATCAAAGTGCAAAACTGAAACTTTCATAACTTCGAAATTTTTATAGATACAATTTTTTTAACATTATTTCCATGTTCCTGGTATCTCTTACATGGCATTTTTCTCAGGGGCGCGAGTTCTGGCGTATCCTGTATGTATATGTTTTATTATAAATATCTATACAAAGTATATGTTTTCAAGAAAGCAAAACAAAGTCGCCAAAAATATTCAAGTCACTTAAAATCTCCTTATGAAGAGAATGTTTAGAAAATTCAGGTAGATAAGGGTGGCATGTGTGTACCTACCCACAGGGTGCTGCAATTCGGATGTCCGAATAGGGAATCTCCCAAACTAAGAGGTTTAGTCAAAAACGAGTGATACATTCTGAAGCCCATTTTTTGAAAAAATATTATTGGTTAAAACGGAATCCCGCTATTGTCTTTTGTTTTCAACTTATAGACAAAAGTTGACATTTTAGCGAAATCTAGAAAAATTCACATCTTCGATATTATAGAAGATACGGATTTGAAATAAAGACACTTTTTTACGTAGAATTTTTTAATGAAGTTAACAATTTTTTTCAGTTATTTATTTACCCGTAATAAAAAACTTGTATTTTTTTAAATGGGAATCATAGATGGCTTTGACATTTTTAAAAACTTTGCTTTTTTATCTAAAAATTATACAGGGTTGCTAAAAAGTATGGATACAGTTAAATATTATAAAAACTATTTATTGAAACTTATAGAAATTTGGTATACGCTTAAAAGTAATTAAATTACATCGCCTCATATTTTTCACTTCTATCGCCATTTGTTCTGTGAATACAAGGTTAACTTGATTTTTTTTTATGTGAAGAAGGGTCAAATTTAATATTTTTATTACCTTATTAAAAGAAAAAATTATCGAACTAATTAAATTTTGAAAAATGTATTTTTTTTAGCCTTGAAAATGTTGTTTTTATCTATCGTTAGCTCTTTGCCGCCTGAACTTTGACCAAAAATAGGTAAACTGTTTTCCAAATTTCAACGTACTCTGGTAAACCGTTCTGAAAATATTTAGCTGTATCCGTACTTTTTAGCGGAATTGTTGTTATTTGTAACATTGGATACTTGCGAATAAAACAGTACACAAAGCTTGAAGGCTTCATTATAGCTTCACGTTTTAACTGATCTTGAGTTTCTTGAGCTTCGAAAATGATGAAAAAAATTCTTAAATTTGTATGTTCCACATTTTATTAAGTTATCTTTTTTATATTTACATTGAAATTTAGTATGACTTAATTAAATTAGTTTATTTGGATATCAAACTTTAATAGGTACTACACTTTCCTGTAAAAAAATATCAATTTATAAAAGCTCCAATTCTTTATTTATGTCATCAGCAAGTTCGATTTGTTCAATTATTGTGAAATGATCTCCTTTCAAATTCATTATTTGAACTTTTTCTTCGCAAAATTGCGATAAATCGTAATCTTCTTTCATATTCCCAACCATTGGAACTTCAGGTTTGTAAAGTCTAATCCCTGATTTAATCTTCTTCGTCTGTAATTGATATTCACGAACTGATTTGTACCGATTATGGAAAGTGATAAAAACTTGGTTATCGATTTTTTCTTGTTTAAACAATTCTGTTGGTACCAACGTTTTTGCCGTTTCAATCCGTTCATTAAAGTTCGAACAACTCAACAACTTGACTCGGTTTTTATTTAAAAGTTCCATTGGTAGAAAATTAGCTAAAATAGTGTATATTATAAACGTTTCAAATTCAGTTTCGGTATTTCCGGAAAGGTGTTGTAAAATTGAGGCTTTTAGGTATTTAGGAGCACCATCAATTGCAAAAATTTGCCCGAAACAATTTTCCTCTTCGAGTAAAATGACAAGTTCTAAGGCGACAAGCACTCCGAAAGAATACGCGACAAAAGTGAAGTCTTTTTTATCCTTTAACAAACTTTTCACATGCTTAAAGATTACAAAACAGTTAGGGGAAATGATAATGAAAGAATTTACCGGTAGGATTTTAAGTGCAGTTTCTTGGATCGAGTTCTCTGGATTTTTAAACGAATATTGCAAACCAAAAACATGTGCTTTCAGTTTTTGGCTTAATGGTTCCACTAACTTAATTGCACCTTCAATTCCGGGTAAAACGAAAATAGTAGGGGCCTCCTCCTTTTCGTTTACCAAGCTTTGGAGTTTTATGGAAGATTCATCGTCAGAAGAGCTGTCTGGTAGAAACTGGAAGAGAGTTTTTGTGCCTTGTTCCAATTTTTTGGTTTGTGTTTTCGATTCTTTCTGGTTTTGAAGTTCGATTAGTCTGTGAAACTTTATATTTATTGCCGTTGGAAAAAATTATTACTTACTTTTCAACAGTCATATTTCTTAAGTCTTTCGGTGGAATAAAAATGTCGAAATCTTTTTCTAGTGTTTGTAAAATTTCATTTCCTAACATCGAATCCATTCCAAGTTCGGTTAAACTTGCTTGTTGGTTTACTTTTTTAATGTCTTTTATGCCTAAAATGTTACAAACTGCATCAACTGGAGTTTCACCCCCGATTCTTTTATCGCGTTTTTCTGCCACAACCATTGACGATACTATTGCATTTTCTTGGTTTAATAATCTATCCAAGACATTGAGGCAACTGGAAATTTTCTGTTGGAGGGTTCCCCCAATCACCAATTCCTTATTATCTGTTTGCATTTTGGCAACTAAACCGACCTAAAATTTAATTTAGAGAAACTCAATAAGCAAGAAATGCTTACGTCTCCGATGGCTCCCCATTGGATGGCCAAGGCGGGAAAACCTTCAAGTTTCCGTTTTTCGCAAATTCGTTCCATGATCGAGTTGGCCATGCCGTAATTAGTTTGTCCAAAGTTTCCTCGTCCGCACGAAACGGAAGAAAATACTACAAAAAATCTCAAATTTGGACACATATCTCGCGAAACTTTGTCCAAATATTTCGTGGCGAAAGCTTTTGGTGTTAAGGAAATCTTGAAAGATTCCTCAGTTTGATTTTCAAATAATTCGTCCTTTAAGACAACCGCCAAGTTGAAAATGGCGTCAACAGGACCCAATTTTGACGCTTCTTCAATTAAATTGACACAATCTTCTTTGGAAGAAATTGTGATTGTGGAAATTTGAACACGAGCGCCGTAAGATTGCCAAATTCTAGATTGAAATTAATTGATTACGTAATTTTGGATTTTTAAGTCAATTACTTGACTCGTTGAGTTTGATAACCGGTTTGGATCCCAATCCTGGAAGTCAATAATAGGTTTCGAGCACCTCTCAAGACTAACCAATCGGCCAATTCTAACCCAAAACCTCCTAAACCACCAAGAATAATATAACATTTTTTTGGGTCAGCCCAGAATCTATAAATTACTAATAAAAATAAACTTTCTGAAAACCAGCTTACTGTGGCAAACACTGAATTAAATTTTCTTTCGATTCTTCTTGATTTTCGCTTCTTATTTTCACTAAAACTTTACCAATGTGTTTCCCAGTAGTCATATATCTAAAACCAGATTCGACTTTGTCGCTTTCAAAAACCACTCTTGGAAGTGGTTTTACATATCCGCRTTCAATACCGTTATACAGTTCTTTGTAAAGTTTTAATTTAGCTTCCGGTGGTGCTTTATACATAACATCTAACATAACCCCATGGTAGCTTGCATTTTTTTTTAACAAAAATAATTCAAGCGAATTATTATTAATTAAATCAAATTTTCCAATTTCTAAAAATGTGCCACCTTTCGCCAAACATCGTATAGAAGTTTTCAATTTTTCCTCAGCCAAAGAATTCAATACCACATCAACTCCACGACCTTGAGTCACTTTCAAAATCATTTCCTTGAACGAAGTGTCTCTCGAATTTCCAATCTGATTTTCTACAAACATACAAATTAAATCAAAATTAAATAATAAATCGTAACAAGTACCTGGAATTTGTGGAAAATGTATTTTGAGAAAATCGCGTTTTTCTTGAGTACCAACTGTCACAAAAATGTTGCATTGATAGGCAAGTGCTATGTTTATAGCAGCAAGACCCACACCACCAGTACCGGAATGAATCAGAATTGAACTACCGGGTTTTAAATTGGAACGCTGAAAATTTTTGTTACTTCGAAAACACAAACTTTTTTAATTAAGTACCACTAAAAGACCGCAAATAACAGTTGAGTAAACCATAGGTACGGTTGCTGCATCTTCTAAAGACCAGTCATCAGGCACTGGCCAAGTTAGATAAGGGTCAGAATCAATCAAAGTTGAAAAAGCTCTATTAGGTATCATTCCCATAACACGTTGACCACTAAATATGTAAAAATTAAAAGTTGATTTAATTTTTTGTTGAAACTCAAACCTTAATGTTTGACCACTAAACTCAACTCCTTCAATACTTTCTTGATTTATTCGATCCATTATTAGAGTTATCCGAGCTGAGGCGGTCAAAACATCTTTAAAATTAATAGCACAATAATTAGTCTATAACAAATACAATTTTGATCAAAATCATAAAATTGTAACAACTTACTATAACCAAATTTGGATTATTATCCTTAAGAGATAAAGGACCTTCAACCCATTTTAATGTGGAGAGGTCACCTCTTGAAATACAAGTGACAAAAGAGTGTTCACTAAAATGATTTGTCGGACTTTCCAGATGTAAATGTCGGTAAGTCCCCCATTCTCCATTTTTGTAAACATTGAAAGCCATGTTTTTTCTAACTTGTTGAACATAGAAGCCATTTTCAAAATCAATTTCTGGGGCTTGATCCATTATAAAGACACACTTAATTTTTTTTCCTCCCGGCTCTCTTCGTATACAATTTACAAAACCTAAAATCCCTTCAGTTTCGCGATTTTGACAAAATACAATTATCTCATCATCATTTTTCAAAGCTTGTTTCAATTGTGACATCCATTCGAATTGATTTGAACTGAATTCAATCATTTCCTTCTTACTTGACTCACTTTTCCGGAAAAGTATCAGTTTTTCATTTTCTGTGCAATGTTGAGTCAAAATTGTAATTTTCTCCAAATTTTCTGGCACATAAGACAAATCTTCACGACTTAAAACAAATCCATTGGGACTCAAAGCGGCCCAAACTTGATTAAGGAGCGTTGGTCTTTGTAACAGTTTTGAAGCAACAATCAAGAGAAGATTACTAGAAGGGAGAAGTGCGTTTGGTTCTATTTTCACACCAGGAATTTCTTCAATTTGGTTTGTGGTCGAAATTAACAAATTTGGTTGTATCAAAGGCACGTCTTCGAGAGCATTAAAAACCAAAGGCATCACTAACGAATCAAATGAAAACTCGTCGATAATTTCTAACGCTGTGAAATTTTTGTCGAGTGATTCTTCGAGAATTATTTGAGTGTTAATTCGAACTGATTGATTTAAATTGGTTTTAAAGTCATTAGGTATAAAAATATTGGTTTCCAGGACCGGTTCGAGAGTCGCTTTACGACGGGAAATGGGTCTTGCATGTAAACCACGAATTTCAATTCCTCCAGATCTAGAAAAATAACTAAATACGGGAAAAATCAAGATTAGAATTTACTTGACAAGATTAATATTTTTGTAAGAATTGACCAGTAGATGATTTTCTTCGCTTTTTGTAACAAATTGCAAATGTTTGAATGGATCAATTGAAATCGTATCAATCCCAATAGGAACGAATAAGAGTCTCGAATCCAACTCAAGTAATTTCATTTGAAGCATTTTATCCATAAAAGTGACCCAATTATTCTCCCATCGAATTAGTCCAGCTCCAGCATCATCATTACATTTGACAATTCCTTTAAATAAGCCACTGTAATTGTATCCTCTCAAATGCAACTCTTTATAAACTTCGTATTCGTCTAAAATCTCTTTCGAATAATTTTTCATTTCCAATTCCGGCAAATTTATAAAATTGATTTCATTAGGAGTATAAACACGTCCTGTGGCAACTAGATTCTCATTTTCAGTAATTTCAAAAACCCCACTTGTCTTTTGTATCGAAACAGAAAATGATATGTAATCAGTTTTGGAGACTGTCGTAGCTCTCACAAATTTACAATTTTCGAAAACAATAGGAAGATGAATCGGACGTACGTCTTTCTTTTTTGCTATTAATTCCCAAAGTATATTTAAATATCCGATTGCTGGAAATAAATTACGACCATCGATCACATGTCCGGACAAATAAATATTATCTTCAGCCAATCTCACATTATATTGCATATTTGACCATTGGGCAAGTTTTAAAAGAGGGTCAACTTTCCAATTTTTAAAATGATGCCATTTTATCAAGGGTGCAATCATGGGTGTATTCCTACCAACTGGAAACACCACTTTTGGGTATAAAATATCCAGTTGAAGGTTGTATCCTTCTTCGTATAGTTTACCCAAAATTTCTAAAAATGTATTTTGATTTTTTAAGAGTATTTGGTTGGAATCTGTAAGGTTTAGAACGATGAATTTTTTTGAAAGTGTGTTCAAACTTTGAATTTTCGGGGAGTTTCTTCCATGTCTAGCTTTTTGCGGATTCGTGAGAATTTGATTCAAGTCATTTTCAAAAATTTCCTTAAGCGTTTGAAGAATTACTTCCTTAAGTGTCAAATTTTGGTCGAGGTAATCACAGGTTAGTTTTCCTGTCAAGTTGGTGAAAATCCCAATCGGATCAAGGCCTACTTCTTTTAGAGTGTCAACAATTCCAATTTGTACTGCAACGCCTCCTAAAATCCCTTCATTGTTTTTTTGTTTCGGTTTTTGGATTGTATCAAAGATATTTAAGTTGTAGTCACTCAAAATTACATTAATTCTACAAAGACAAGAATAAAGCATTTATATTTAATTTATGTAGGTACCAACCGATGCATCGAATTTTGAAAACTGGGAAATTGTAAAAAGTACTGCCCTATTATTTGGTACGACTTGTCGAAACAACCAAAATTCACGTAAAACGGCGATTTCTGGTCCAAATTTCGGCTAATTGATGTTACAAGAGTACCATCTTTCGTAACAACTGAATACCCTCGGTATAAATGATTCCTAAATTGTTTCTTGAAAATTTGGTGCAATAAACCAACAAATTCGCAACTTAGTGGTATCAAAAAATTTAAAATCTCCTTCACACATTCTTGACTTCTGCCACTTATACAAACCAATCTTGGGATATTATCTTCAAATCGCGTTTTCTTCTCCGAAACCCTTTCAAGTATGAGATGGCAGTTGGTACCACCGAAACCAAAATTACTAACACTCATTATGACATCCGTACTTTCAAATGGGGTTACTTCTGTTACGACCTTCATTCTTCCTTCCTCCAGAGCATTCATTCCAGTTTTAATAGTTTTGAAATTGATATTGGGGGTGATGAAGTCGTCTTCCATGGCTAGGAGTACTCTGATAAGGGCTCCCATACCTGAAGCCGGTTCTGCATGACCAATACTCGACTTCACACTTCCAATATAAAGTGGTTTTGCTTTGCTTCGTTTTTCACATATGGCATTAGCTACAGCTTGGACTTCTTCCAAATCGCCCACTTTTGTAGCAGTACCATGGAGCTCCATATAAATTAACCGTGATGGGTCAATGCCACTTTCATAGTACATTTCTTTGAGGAGTTTACTTTGCGTTTCAGATGAAGGGAAGAAGAGACCTGCGTTTTTGAAGCCATCATGGTTCATTTTCGAATGAACAATCTTCAAAAACAATAAAAAAATAACTCACAGCGGTGTAAGTATCAAATTAGCGACTAGACTGCTATCAAAACTCGATATAGTTGGGGTTTACTACTCACTTTTGCATAAATCCGTCGGGCACATTTCGACTTTTGGAGAAAAACACAAGCAATTGTTTCACCGCGGACATAACCATCGGCATCTTGATCGAACACTTTGCAACGTCCTTCTTTGCTCAAAACTCCAAAGCTTAAAATTAAACGCAATTAAATAAAATTAAAGTTTTTAAAGTAGTACCGAGCAAATTGTAAGGTGACTTGTGAGAATATTGTTAAATGACAGCCACCAACTAAGGCATTATCGCATTGTCCACTTCTTATAGCTTTAAGGGCATGATCTAAGGCATTAAGTGAGCTACTACAAGCAGTGTCGACAACATAACTCGGTCCTTTGAGTTTCAAAAAATAACTGACTCTTCTTGGAACAAACGATCGCTCATAACTGAGAATTATTACAAAAAATTAACAAAAAACAAATAAAAGTTACCCAGTAATTGCAAAAGCCTGTGGTTGGTCAGTACTTCTTAATGTTGCACATTCGGCATCCGACCCGGAGTACGCCACAAAAACCCCTGTTTTTGTTCCTTCTAACTCTTCAGGATGCAGTCCTGCATCTAGGATTGCTTCTAAACTTACTTCCAGAAACATTCGAACAGTGGGATCCATATTTTGGCATTGCCTTAAATGAATCCCAAAAAATCCCAAATCAAATTTGGTTAAATCAGGAAGGAGTCCTCCAGTTGGGGGAATTTCTCTATGTTTCGTAAGCCACCGTGTTTCAATTTCCGAAAGCATTGACTTCTTGTTGACTAGATTGTCCCGGAATTCTTTCACGTTTGGGGATTTGGGAAAATGTCCCGAAATTCCTAAACATTAAAATTATTAGTAGATGTTTGAAGAGGATTGGTTGTACCTGTGATGACAATATCTTCGCCAGGAGGCGGCGTGGAAAGCCATCGACCGAATTGGAAGCTCTCGTCTTGCATTATTACAAAGATTAACAGACAATTTCAAACATGAGTTTATATAGACCCAAGTGTCTTTTTTAAATTCTTTTGTGTGTGGCCCCTGACCTAAATAAAATTTAGTTTTCAAGGATAGTATAATTTTTTCCAGTTATTCCACATGTTGAATTAATATTCTAAGACACACACAAATATTCGTATAATTATGCTCAATCTTAATAACTAATTGTTTGGTGTGGTCACACATTCTACTTAATTCCATTAAAAATTATTAAAAGATTAAAGTATCCACCGTAATTATTAAATGCAAATTTGATTATAAGAATCTATTAACTACAGTAAAACCTCTCACGACGGGAAATCTTTAATTGTCCGTTGTGAAGAGGTGTGCCTTAATGGGTAGTGTGCAAAATTAATAAAAAAATTGAACAGTCTTTTATTCAAAATAACTAAATATAATAACAAAAATATAAAAATTAAGAAATTAAAAGTAGGTTAGGTACAAAAAAATTAGAAAAAAACATTTTTATTTGAAATGTTTTTGAAGTTCATTACTTTAACTAACAAGTTTTTCTTGGGGTTATTCTGTATTCTGCAACTCATTAATGTAATCCTTGAATCTTATATAAAAGTTTATTTAAAAAACAGTTTAAATTTACTGATAAAACTAAAACTACCTATTCATTTATATTATTTATTATTGAATTGAGTAAGTAGGTGGTAATACAACAAAAACATTTAACTGTATACTGCTGTTTGCATTTTTGAGGAGCAAATGGCAGCTCCATTTTATTTTACAAATTACATTGTGAGATCGGCTCCAGTAGTGTTCGTACCTTCTTTAGAGTAGACTTTAGTACCTGATTTAGGGTAAACCCCTCTGTCGGTAGGAGGTAAATTTATATGACATTTATGGTCCGCGTCCGATGATCAGAGTGTCCGTTGTAGAGAGGATTTTTTCCATTTCGTTCCTATATATTAGTTAGGTTTCTACAAAAATGTCCGTTATCAATATTACTTACTTACAATATTACTACTACAGTAGTCATCAATTGAAATTCAGATTATTATTATAGCTATATAATATACATACAGAGTATATATATAGTTTTTTAAAAAAGTCAATAGAATTTCAGATTAGTTAACTTGTTTTGCAAAAGCAAAATTTGCAATTCAGAAATTAAAAATTATATTTCCTGACCTGAGAACCAAAAGGTTCTGACAATTTATTAATTTTTTATCGTATCATCATCTATTAAGTTCGTTTAATGTTACACATTTATTGAGACCAATAATAAAGGAGGTAGTGACGATTTTCGGTACTTACTTTCCCAGTCAGAAAACATGGATAGAATTGTTCGGTTAGTAATTTTCATGTATATKKRGGGGGGGGGGGGGTTCCTATGGGATGAGGCGGAAACTGCGTCAGAACATACGAATACACTGCCCTTTTTTTTAGTGATAAAAATAGTTCTAACAGCTTAAAATACAATCTGACTAATGTGGAACGTCCTCAGAGCCATGCCAGACTCGAATAATGATCGTCAGGCGCGCTAAATTCGGCACGTTCGATTTTACAGGTGATTAGTGTTATTCGTACAGCCGATGATTTTGAAGATGTCACGCTAATAAACGGAGCCTGGCATTTGGGATCACTGTCTATCCATCCCGACCGCAACATCCTTAACCATACCGTAAACTTGAGGACACGAAAGAATTTTACTTTTTACCTTGAATATCGTACAATTGCGTAAAATTTGATTTGATTATGTTTTTAGTAAGAAATCACTTTGTTTACGAAAACCATAGCCGATGAAATTAATTCTAATGAATGTGATGTCATTTAATTCATACAATGAACCGAATTAAAATTTGATTGTCCTTAAAAACTGATTTGACCATTGAATTTGTATTTTTTTTTGTTAGAATTTTTTTGTTTACAAATTAAATTCTTCGATGTGTGTTTTAAAGATATTACCTCTTTTGGTATTTCATTGTAATGATTATAAGTAATAAAAAAATTATTTATATTTACAAAAAAATTGTATACGAAATTTATATTACTAATATTGGGAAAATCCAACAAGGGTTGCACCTCGGTGTGCTAACCTTTATATTGTTATTGGGAGCTTATTTCTTCAACAGGAAATGGAATAAATTAATTGTGGCAATTTTGGATTTTGGCAATGCGAATTAAATAACATTTTCATTAAAATTAGTTTTATTGGTCATGGTTCATGAAAGTGAGTTTTAAATTTGCTAGCAAAATTATCAAATCTTTTAAGTAGTTGTTTTAGACGTAAAAACTAACATTTTATGTTTTATTGGGTGTCAAAATTTACAACCCTTAAATGATTTATAACTGTGGTTGGAGTACCGATGCGAATGCCCAGGTTACAATACAAATGAAATGGCATCACATTCATTAGAATTTAAGATAATAATTATCCTTTACATGAAGCAATTATGATCGAAGATTGGTTTGTCGACTATCTTGAGCTCTAATTATTAAGTTGGCCTGTGAGCCATTCCACGAGAAAAGTAAACCACATTGGAAAAAATTAACAGAATCTAATCTAAGCCACCTTTGCATCTGCTGTCTTACTTCTAATCCTAATCATTTAACGTATTTTATTACAACAGACTTTGATTTGACCAGAGATTTAATATACATATCCAAAGCCTCTGGATTTGACAGATATTTTGTCCCTAGATCCTGGTGATTTTTAACACTACTAAAATCACCAACTGGACAAAAATAAATCCTCCATTTCTAGGAGGCAAGCCCCTCATTTCATAACTTTATTCACCATTCACAGAGTAACAAAATTTAATGAATGATATTTTCCTTTTAGTTAGTTGTCAATACAAGGATTCATAATTTAATTACAAAAAAAACATTTTTACATTGGCTCCCTCTGCAGAGAAAACTATTGAACTACAACAGGCCACATTTTCCAAACGTTATATTCAAATAATGGCGGTCTTTGTACTATTTTTTCTTCAATCAGTTTAAAGTAATTATGTACTATAATGTAGCATATAGTAAAGGAGTTGTTATATAACTACATGAAGAAGTTTGTATTACTTTATATTTTTCTTCTTCTTGGATCTTCTTGGTATGGAAACGATGAACAAAAACACGATTAGCCTGTGCTATTAAAATAAAAGTTTGGTGTGACGGGCTAATCGTGTTTTTGTTCATACTTTATATTTGAAATTTTATTAAACAACATTTAATCTAAAAGGAGAATAAATATTTCAAATAAATTTTTAATCATTAAAAACTACACTAATCTCTTTCTTATTATTTTTATAATCTGTATCTGTCAAAAATTTCAATAAAAAATTAAAATAAAAAAAAATCTGAATGAATTACTCAAACGATGTTTTGACGTTTCAGTAACGCGCCCTTAAGTGAAATTAAGTAAATTAAACGTTCTATTTTAAGTGTCAAGCAGTTTCAGTATCATTGTCACAATTTTAATTTTAATATTACTTATTGTTTCCGTACATGCAGCGGTATTTCATTTATTTAAGAATACTCCATTATAATCAAGTAGGTGCTTGTCATGGTCAGTATAGTAGTATTCTTTTAATTTTTCCCGTTTATCGTAAAACTGTCAAATAACACAATCCCATGCGCTACTAGTTTTGTCTTCGTTGTTACTATGCGAATGAGTGAGACAAAATGCAAACGGTCAAGCGTAGCGCAAAATAGGAGGGACTACCAGTCGTTCTCAAACTATGAGACGCCACTAAGCTATAATTTGTTATTATTATTATTTTTTTTTTTAATAAATTAATATGTGTTTTTTATGTTTCCAAGCAAAACTAAATGTTAACAGTCTGTTTATTTTATTAAACATCCATCATTAATTGTTAATTTCTCTTGCTGTATTTTTTAACCTATTGAGAATCACTGTTATGTTTTGGTTGAGTGGACTAGATAGGCATGCTGAAGTTTGTTGTCTCTTTTATAGGACCTAAGTGCGAGAAAGACAACATACCACTGGTGTGACCAGAGAGCGGCATAACGTTTATCTTACTTGCTCTTACCTACTTACTTGAAGAGCAAGAGAGACAACAAAGTTTTATGACATTCGGGTAAAATTAAAAGAACAGTATTTGAAGCGATCATTTTTAGATTTTTTTTCTAACTGATTTATATGAACAAAAACACGATTAGCCCGTCACACCAAACTTTTATTTTAATAGCACAACGCGTTTCGACCACAAAGTGGTCATCCTCAGGTGAGAATAAAACTAACTAATTTAACAATGGTAATGCCTTATATACTAATTTTCCGACTTTCACTTTCCCTACCCCCAACTAACGAGTAGAGGGGAGAAAAGGGAATGGGGCCGTTGTCTGAATTCATGAGACAATTTATAACCTTACCTTATACTCCCTCAATCACAAGAGGTTTGAGTAAAATTTTCAAAAATCTTGACTACCAAGTTGTTTACAACTCTGGTAGAAGTCTCAAAAGTTTTCTTGGTAATCCTAAAGATAAAGTAGGACCATTAGAAAAATCGGGGATTTATGAAATTAATTGTAAAGATTGTGAACAAAAATATATTGGGCAAACACGTCGTTCAGTTAACACTAGGTTTAAAGAACACATAGCTCATTTAAGATATAACAGATTTGAAAAATCAAGTGT